TTTGTGCCCATGTGATAGGCGGAAGTCTCCAGCTTGGAGAGAGCGTGATCTTGCTTGTTCTCCTCGACGAACCGGAGTCGAAACTCGGAACGAACGAGCCCCCAGGACGGAAACGGAAACGGGGCTTTGCTTCCGTGGCGCTCCGCCCATTGCTGAGCGGGTCCTTCTGCCATGAACGACATGGCATAGCGGAGGGCCTTTTCCTCGCTCGCCTCTCCGTTGACCACGAGGGCCTCAGGGGCAAGGCGGGCGTAGGTGCGGACCGCGTGAGGAACGGCGGCCGCGTTTCCGGTCGCCGTTGAAGGTGAACGGGGGGTTTGGTCGCAAGACCAATTTTGAGGCGAGGTTGATGTCGCCAAAAAGGGCTTCGAGTCGCCCTGGACCGGAGTCGGAGTCGGAATCGACGTCTCCGGCGAAGGTGTTTGGGGTCCGCCAGCATTATTAGCGGCGGCAGCGGCAGCGGAAGCCTGGTTGGTGAGTAAAGCAAGGGCCTCAGTTAGGCTATCAATTTTCGCCTCGAGTGAGTCCAGCCGGGCGTCTGCGGTAGGAGTGACTCCGGACGGCATGACGGGTGCGGGGACCACAGGAGTAGAGGAGGAGGGGACAAGTGGCAGGGGCGGTGACGAGGGCGGAACGGACTCGTACTCCGAGCCTGAGTCAGCGCCGAACCTGGCAATCTTGTCCGGTTGATCCCGTAGAGAGTTTCTTCTGCTGTAAGGGCAACCCCGGAGGCCTGAGATCAAGGTCCTAGCAGGGGAGGATCCAAAGCGTGAACATTGGTAAGCGAATACAAATGAAGCTGACCTAGCAGGGGAGGATCCAAAGAGAAGAAACTCTGAGGGTCCACCTGCTAGGTAGCTGACTATATACTCCTTGTCCGTAGCTGCCGCTGTCGGGCACAGAAGGCTTGGGCGGCGTCGCAGGCGAGGTCCCAGGGCGACCGTCGGGAGGGCATTGACAGATCGGTGATTGTGCGGGCGAGATGGAGGGCCGGACCGGAGTCGGAACCGGAATCGGACCGGAATCGGGTGCGTATCCGGGCCGAAAGGGAGGTTCCCCTGACAGAATAAACCCTTTGCCAAGATGTCAGTAGTTCCATCAGACTAAAATCCCCATTGGGGCTATAATAAACTGTCAAGCTTTGGGTCAGGCCATGCAAGACTTCTCCTAAGATTGCATGCCTGGAACCGAACAGACGGATCATCGGGCCTACAGGTGAAGCGAGCTGAGTAGAATCGAACCAAAAGGGCCTGTTAACACGGTCCCTTATTGAAGTCAGGGTCGGGGTCGAATTGGGTTGTTTCGGGCCCGATGAGTTGGCAGTACCTCCTTGCACAGAGAGAAGTGGTACAATAGACGATCTAAGCAATAAAGTACAGTGTACACTGTTGGGCCTTATATATGTGGGCCCACTGAGGGTGATCAGACACCCTTGGCCTCTCCTGCTCCCCCTCACTCCCATTCCTGGCTGCAGAGGGGACGATCGTACATCCCTTGTGGGCCAGGTGCTACTCCTAACCTCCTAGTACTCCTCCCCAGTCCTCTAGTGTTGAGTTGGGCTCGGCAATGGCTTGACACATCATTCTTGGTCACGTGCTTCCCACGTATGTGTTCCTCCTACTGAGGCGCCTATTCCCTGTCATTACGTGCTGCATGTTGCAGGCCCACAGTAGCGGAGCAAACAGGCCGGGTTTTATCTGTGACATAAACCTCAAAAGTGAATAAACTGTTTTCTTGCCTCCATCACAAAAACTTACCATTTTGGGACAACTACAATCACATACTATATTATAATCTCGGTCCCAGATTGTTCTCGGTGGGGACATGCCGGATATGATGCGGGGATGTGCCATCACCCATCATACCAGAGAAATCAGCCCTTGAAGATCTGGTGCAATTTAGCCAGGTGGGTTGCACATGCTTACCAGTTGCTTATCAAACTGACCAAAATTCCTTGTTTTCTTGCTGTTGGGGCTTTACTGACCCCATTAAGGGCAGATTTACTTAGTCAACCTATACTTACACCTATTTCCCCAAGAAAAAATGGTATCTTTAACATCTTTGACTGATTTTTCATAACTATGTTATTTGACATCATTAGCCCATGTAAGGTTCATGACATATGAATTGGCTGCTAAAAATTTGCAGGGCTGCTTGAAGGACCCTTGCCTTGAGTATACACTATAAATTATTGGCACCCTGAGGCTTATGGGCCACTACTGAGCTATTCCAAGGTGGCTACTAGTAAATGTACATCATCAGATATCAGCACACGCAACATCTCTGATCAATTTGCACCAGATGTTTGTGAGCAACCTTTTCCATCACCCCTCATCTGTCTCCCTCCTACCATCATCATCACAATGATCTCCTTGCATCCAGCTCAAATGTAGCAGATGAGGTGCCCGGCAAAGCTCGGGGATGATATATACAGACTATAGTCTGTGGTTGTGATGTGAAAGACTGGTCCTGGCATATATTGCGTCATCATTAGACATGTGTTGTGCACACTATTCGAAGATGTGGTTACAGTGGACCTTGTGTTGTGGTTGGTGCACACACCAATGCCCTGTCCCCTTCCTGTGCATGTCCTCTGCCACATGCAAAGGGTTCGACTACTGCTACTCAGCAAAATGTTGGGTCAGCGAGGCACTTTTTAAGTAGTAGATTGCAAGTCAACAAACCAGATGCTCTCACTGCTGTTATGAACTGTTGCTGTCAAATTTAGTCTAAGGAACTGAAGTGTAATACTCGGTGTCCCTCTATGACCATCTCACCAACGCGAGTAGAGTACCAGTATGCATGCCCTTGTTTGTCTCAGTCTATCTCCGCGATGAGTGTGATGACCTCATTGCTTATGCTATATTCCTTGGCATCATAATTCCTTGCAACGACATCACCTTGGGCCTACTATCTCAATACTTCAACGGCAGAGAGTTGTTGCAGTCACCACAACACTTTCAACCGTTGATATTATGTGATGCGAGATTGTAACTTCTGTCAACATAATTCTCGCCTGTTAGTCCCTATGTGTGTATTGTCCGCAGGCCCTTAAATCACAGCTGGGTGGGTAGTTCAACATGAGGAGTAAATGGTCTTACCTATGTCTGAATTCTTTGAAGACTGAAACAATGACCTGTACACAAATTGCACCATGTTGGACCGACACATTATTAGACTCTCATGCTTCCTACACATGCAATCTTATCATGAACTTCATAGTAGTTCAAATAAAAGCATTGTAGAGGAGCATTGCTGTACTTTCTACTGCTCTATTAAATGGTAGTAAGAAACATACAGACATGAGAGAGGCTAATATCTAAAAACCCGGTTGCATTCATGTATCTAAATTGAAGCTGCGAGACAGTCTGCTCTTATCGGTGGATCCTTTGGATGTCAACGATTTATGTGGGAAAATGGAGAACCATCTTCCGACTCCTCACTGCGTTACATTGAGGTTGGCGTTGCTCATCCCGTCGTGGGAGGTACCCAATACATCACGACCAGAGGGAGAAACAGATAAGTGTCAACTGATCACAACAGTGGAGATTATTTACATACGTAGCATACTACAAGACGCCTGTAAGTATGTAGACGGACCCCGCTACGCTTTCCGATTTGGGACCACTGCGGTAATTCTATCCTATCCTATCCTATCCTCCCATCAAAAACTACCCTGGCAACGTCAAGTGTCTGTTCCGGCAAGCTTCGCTCGCCCGCTGCTCATGAACATCTGGAATCGAGACTAACTATATCATTTTATTCAGTCCATCGGTTATGTGTCATACTGGCCTTGGCCTGACAAAAATCTTTTGTCAGTCATACTGTCCCACCAAAATTTGGGCCTGAAATCTGTCCAAAAAGGATTTTTTGTGATTTGTGGCATGAAATTCCCTCATGGGAAAGAAAAGATTAGGTTTATTGTGTATGTCATGCACCTTGGGGTGAAAAACTGAATAAAATAGTATAGTAATCTATCTATAATATACTTAAATCTTGATATATAATAGAATTGGCTGACAGAAAATTCATCCATTAGAATCAGCTTAATGTTACTTCAAAAGCAAGCCTCCATACTAAGTAGGGTTTCAAGCTCTTTGCAGCAAGGTGCTACATATCAGTATGTGATCAAGATGACTGAGCTGGAGGCAAACTCAAAGGATAAGACCCTCAAAGCTACTGCTCCTCTTCCCTGTTGCAAACTGATCTCTCATACTACTATATTCCTTAACTCTTATCATACTAGTACCTCACGTTCTGGAGATACCTGTGTCAACTTTATTATTTAGTTGCACCGGGCTTTGTAACCAGCTTCTTATAATAAGTATTATATCTGACCATGCTACTCGAGGCTGTGTCAGCTGGCTGCTGATGCTGCATCACGATTTGTGATGACGAGTCACGACAACTCTCACTTTTCTGCAACCTTTCTCAGTCTGTGCAACCAATTGCAAAGCAAGACTGCCTCCATTCCGTACTCGTAAAGAGCTCGGGCTCATCCATCACGGGATTTCAGGGCCACACGCGCGCAGATCCATTCGGTACCGTCGGGCAACACGTCATAGCTAAAGTGACATTTTGCTTACTCTTTCCGTTGCACAACCCTGAAGGTTCGCTGATGTTTCAAACGAAGTTATCGAGAAGATTCTCAACAACGGCTCCTCCACTTACGGCGCCGATGAACTCATTACGCTAGTAATCGTCCGACACTGGGAACGGGTGTTATTTCTGACCACCCAATTGCCGCCTGTCCACGGACAATACGATGACTGGCGGGAAAGTCCGTGCGTTCCTTTCGTAAGCTTGCCATATATGTCGAAAGAAGGCGGCTTTTTTTGCTACCGTGGCTATCAGGTGCAGTTTCCACTGATTGATTCCGCCGTTCCGGCCCTGTCTATTCTCTTCTCGCGCAAGCGCGAGATGCCTGTGGGCTCAGGGCTGTGGGCGCCTCGCTCTCGTAACGCTTCAAACTCTCTCTTAAACCACCATCTACACGCAACATGATTCCAGAACTCCCAATGCTTTCTTTCACTCTCGAGAATGGCGTCACCTTCACCTACACCGACAGCGGGCCCGTCACCAATGGCGACGACTACCCCACTCTGGTTATCATCCATGGGCATACCTTCCACGCCGGTCAGTCTCTTATCGCGGCGACAATTTCGCCTGCCATTGTTTCTATTCATTTTTCGTTCTCAGGGACTTTCCAACGATTGCACCCACTCGCATCTGCCAACGGCCTTCGCGTTGTTTGTATCAACCGACGCGAGTACGGGGGGTCCAGCCTCTATCGTGAAGACGAGCTTGCGGTGTTCACGACCGGCAGTGAGCAAGAGAGGGTCGAACTTGTTGCTGCACAAGGCCGAGACTTGGCTTTGTGTGTCGACGGCATCGTCCAGACTCTTTCCCTTCCCAAGGCGGGCGGGGTTGCGCTTTGTGGCTGGTCACTAGGAGTATCATTTCTCTGCAGCTTGCTGGCGAGTATCGACGCTCTTCCCGAGCCGACAAGGGAGAGGCTTTCCGAATGGGTCCATACCGCCATCATCTTTCGTGTGTTGTTTTCCTCCTCCCTTTCTTCCTCAATCCTGACTGCGCTGGTACAGAAGCTCCTACTCTCTCCTTAGGAATGCCGATTCCGGATGGCCTCTTAATGCCCCACACCGATCCAGCCATTGCTGTGGCCGACAAGGCCGCCGCATTCGCCAACTGGGTCAGCGCGTTTTTCGAGCATGGCGACCTTTCGAAGCGCGCCATCTCTGAACTTGTCTACCCTGCACCCGCCAACCCCAAGAAGACCCCGACCTTGGCGCGCATCCAGCCAGGAGAGCTCATGACCATGGTCGACTTCGCACCCGGAAAACGCTACGACGATATCTTTGGCGCACCGCAGTACCGTCAGCTCCTTCACAATCAAACACAACGGGCTTTATGGAGCACTACGGTGCGAGAGGCATGGGAAAGGATGTACGAGAAGCGGGGACTGTGGGTCATCAGCGGGACGGCAGAGCCCTGGAATGTCGTCCAGGCACCGTGGCTGTTGGAAGAAGAATCGAGCAAACACCCCGACCTCGCACTGAACTTTGAGCTTCTCCCAGGCGTCAACCACTTCGTGAGTCGCTCCATAGACCATGGTCTCGATTCTGAACTCTCGCTTAGTTGGTCTGGGAAGACCCCCAGCATGCGCTGGATGTTTTCAAGAAGTGCATCGAGACCACACCCGACTCGTCTGCCCCGAGCGTCAGCGGCAGCGGCAGCGCTCGCTCGGACCGATTGTGGGCATTCTGTGCCCCGATGTATTCGGGAATCCAACAGATGTGGGCTGCGGCCCGAAAATTTGTTTTGCGGAGCGCATAGTGTAGGACAGCAACTAATATCTCGTAGAACAGAGTAATCCATGCAGTCAGTTTCCTGGTTCACGTTGCTTTCACATCATTCCTGGATGCTCTGACCCTGAGTACAACCGCTTTAGTCCATAGCTTTCTTTCGGAGTAGGTACCATGAGTCCGTGACTGATAAGTCCGAGCTTTCGTTCGGATGGATTGAAGGTTAGTCGATGAAGTTGCTGTATTTGGTGCGACATGAGTGCGACAGCTTCGATTCGCAGAAAGAATCAGCTCATCATGGACAGTCATGAATTGGGTATGGGATAAATCGCCGCCCACGCCGCCTGGCTGCCGCCCCAGTGCCGCCGCCCCTCAGGTACAGCCGCCCAAGCGTGACAGGCTGCCGCCCGCGTGTCGTCGACTGCCGCCTCAAGTATTTCATCGACTGCCGCCTCAGGTATTGAGTGCTCCACCACACTGCCGCCCAAAGCAAGGTACGCCGCCCATCCATACTACTTAAGGTAACAGCTTTATTGACTACTTTTTCGACTTGAGTTTTGCCCACGATGACGCTTCCCCTTGACTTTGCGTTGCTTCAACACCCTCCTCACCAATTCCTCTGGTGCTTCAAGGTCCTCTGACACGGGCGATGGGGTGCGAACACGCTTCAAGCTGCTTGCATGCAACTCTGAGTCTGGTCGCTCGGCGGCAACTTCAGGGCTCTGCTCGATGTTTTGCTCGGCGGAAGCAGGAACTTCGCGGGTGATATTGACGGTTAGTGGGATTGGAGGAGCAGGATAGCTATCGGATCGAAGTCGACGGGTGTAGATCCTTGGCTGATATCCGTTGGGACCCACGAAGTGTGTACGCAGAATAAGCCCATAGACAGTATTCAGTTTGTTGTCGACCAGCCAGGAGTACCAGAAGAAAGTCAGTTGTGTTGTCATCCAAGCACGCTGTGTCCAGAGAAGCACAATAATGAGAGCGACGTTGAGCGTCACTTGGATCGTCGTTGACATGTCTCAGAGCTGATGCTTACTCATACTGCCGCCCGCCGCCCACTGCCGCCCGCCGACTACCGCCCTGCCGCCGCCGACTACCGCCTGACTACCGCCTGACTACCGCCCCACTGCCGCCGACTACCGCCTCACTACCGCCAACTACTAAAGTGTGGCGGCCTGCTCCCACACCACCTTGAGCTCATTGTCACCCGCTGCTCATATTGTGCTCCAAGTCATGACTGCCTCAGTGCTGTGTGTCTCTCACCTCACGATGCAGACATGATTCAGGACTTGAAGTTGTCCACGACGACCTACTTGACCGCTGGCATTGGGCAGGTGCCGCCCAGAAGTTTGGGATTGCCACCCCCAGTGCCGCCCACAGTGTGTGACTGCCGCCCAAGTTTTGTGACGCCACCACTCTGCCGCCCCAAAGTTTCAAGAGACCAACAGGTATGTTCCAGCCAAATTTTTCGAGCCTCAGCTGCCGCCCGCGTGACGCCCAGATGCCGCCCATCAATTTTAGTCCGTTTGCTGATCTACTGACAACAATACACGAGACTTGGTACGCGGTACACTGGGTGGGGGATTTCACTTGGGTATGACTCCTTCCCAGATATGTTGGTTTTAACAAGATAACCACAATATAACTCGTAGCAAGCGCGGCGGTCAGACCTGGTATGCCGCCAGACCGCCGCCCCACTGCCGCCCAACCACTGGGCGGCGATTTATCTCTGCCGCATGAATTGGTCTTGAATCACTGACTTGTTAAAATCGCAGCAAAACAGTTGTTACATACAAGTCTTTAAGACGTAAATTCAGTTCCTCCTTATGGTTCAGATTGCAAGTTCTGTGCTCAGCGAGTGCCAAAACGCACATCGCGCACCCAACTTTGGGTCGACCGGCTCCATAGCGACCTGCGAGGGATGGAACAGTATTCGCGGGCCTCCCTCGAGACCGTTTTCCTGTGGATAGCCTTCAGCCGACATTGCAGCAACTGTCCCGCGAATTACTTGCCGTCCACAAAACAGAGGCAGACGGCGAAAGCGGGGAGCCTGACACGGCAAACGAGTTCCAGAACTCGCGTATCGCTACGACTACCGCTTCGTTGGCGTTATCGTTGCCCGCGTCGTCTTCGAAGAAGGCGTTGAGCTCGTCGCCGTGGGAAGAGCCGAGGGTGGGGTTGTCCCAGCTACGCACGCATGTCAGTCATTAGCGATAGAAGCAGGTTCTGTCGCTTACTGGAACTGCCAGGAGGGCACACCAGACACGTTCAAGGCCCCGCCGACAGAGAGGGCACTGCATATGTAGCGCATCTCGCCATACATCTGCTGTCCTTGGAGGCTGAACGAGCCATTGTAGTCGGTCAAGGGATAGAATTGTGCGACCGCTGTGTCAAAAGACGAGCGGGACAAGTCGAGGTATTGCCCGGCAAGGAAGTTGTAGACCGTCGTTTGTGTCGCATTGGGCATCGAAGTGTTTGCGAGGGGATTGTCCAGTTCAGCGGACCAATGATCACCCTCGTTAGTGTTGGAGCTAGAGATACATAGTCAGAGGCGAGTTTGCAAGGGCTTGCCAACCCCGCACCCAAAGATTCCGGGGACGCGGACGAAGTGGCCGTTTTGAAATGCTTCGACAGGTCTTTCGCGCAGGAAAGAACCGTCGAAGATTGGGCCGATGGGAAATAAAGCCGACGTCAAGTTGGCCAAAAGTTTGCTTCCCGCAGTCGCGATCGTTTTTGTCGATGCTGCACGAAGACAGGCCATGATGGCTGGTCCGTTACCGCTCCCCGAACAGCCTCTGAGTAGTATGTATTGAGCCAAAGACAAGCAACAGCAGTTTTTTGAGACTTACGCAAAGCCCGCATATTGCATAAAAAGGTTCTCGATGTGCGGATCATTATAGCGGAAGAGCGACAGCATCGGTGGGCTGTCGGCAATAGCTTGACGAAAAAGTCCCTTGGAACGAGACGGTAACGACACGCGCCTGCGTTGGAAACGACGCCTGAACTGACTTCGCAATGAGCAACATAGCCAACAGCAAAAGGCCAACCCTAACCCTAGCCCGCGCGACCTCCTCGTCGATGACACAACGGGCAACGACTCTGGTCGACGACCGGCCTCTCGGGTCCGTTCCCCGACGGCACGTGTTGCTTACCAGCTCACTCCCGCCCCACTTCACTAACCGGGCAACCCGCTCGCTCGCTGCCCTGGGACACATGATCGCATCTCGCCTCAAGACGCCGCGAACGGTGTTGGGCCTACCAACCTAACGGCAAGCCCCAAATCTGTCTACAGCGCTAACTACCCCCGCCAGATTCCAGCCGCTTGCCGACCAGCTCCAACACCTCCCGCGCCTGTTTACGGCGCTAACAACCCCGCCCCAGACTCCAACCGCTTGCTGGCCCGCTCCGACACCTCCCGAGCCTCGTTTCCTGGCCCCTCCGCCTTCAAAGACCGCCAAAATCGCAGCTAGACAGAACGAAGCTGTCAGCGCCGATCTCGAGAACGAGCAAAACACGCACTAGTGGCCGCCAACGCTGCTCAAACCACCCCCGCCGCCTTCAACTCGTGCCAAAAGGACACTACAAACAGCAAGTTTGTCAGCGCTGATCTCAAGAACGAGCAGCACGCACTCGCTAGCGGTAACGGGACACAGGGCTAGGCGAATGTGGAGGGAAGGGGAGAGGTGGGTCGTCGAACGAGCGCGGGAGTGTCCGCCGGCGACTGACATGGATTCAGGGTCAAGCGCGGCAAGACAACGCAAATACACACCTTTGTGACGACAACAAGATCGAGTAAGTCGTCGTTCCGCGGTATCGACACTGCTAACTCTGTTGTCTGGTTAGTATCCCCAATACCAGACACGAATCGCCACGAACCTTGCGCAAGACTGCAACAACTACTTCTGGATTCGCCAGCGCGAGCTCCGCAAGACCAAACCCGAACACACCAATCTTCGAGGTTAGTAGCGCTGTTTCCGTTTGGTCGACATTGAAGCCTGCAGGAGAGGGCATAGACGAGGATTCAAGTCCGCTGGGAAGGAGCTCTGTCGGCAAGTCAATGCACGTCAAAGGACAAGCACGAGTCAGGACTTACCTTGAAAGTTTGTGAGCGACATCGATTTTAAGCGTGGAAAAGATGGGCTATGCCAAGTAAGCAGGCGTGTCATTGAATGAACAGATTGGACTTACCTTCTCCTCCAGAACGGTTGAACAACAACAACGGCACTATAACACGGTGAGCATTCGACATAGCAGCAAGGATGTGAAGCTTACGATGACCGCAGAGGTCTCCCGGCCGGTCGGGTCCGTGACCCGACGGCACGTGTCATTCTCCCGCTTCACCCTCTCCCGCTCGCCCACCATGTCCTTCCTCAAGACCAAGCCGGTGCTGTCTACAACTACCCCCAAGCCGCCTCCCCCGCTCGTGCCGCCTTTGCCTGCCGCCAAACAACCCTACAAATCACCAGCTTGTCAGCGCCGAGCTCAGTCTATCTAAAAAGGGTGCTGCAATGCCGACTACTCCCGCCAGCGCTGCTCGAACCACGTTTCCCGCTCCCGCTCCCGCCTTCTGCAACAGCCGCCGAACGCGCGCGGGAAGGTGCGACTGACATGAATTTGGTGTCAAACACGGCAAGACGACACGAATACACACCGACACGAATGTCTGCTGCGACAGCCCGCTCGCGCAAGTGCTAACACCACACTCGACCGCCAATCGCCCTAAAACGCGTCAGCAAGGACGAACTGGGCAACAATAGCGCCAGCGCCAACCGAAGTGATGTCAGATTGCGCCGGGCGTGGTCATTCTAGCAAGAGGTAAGCGCGAGCGTACGCAGCCGGGACAACGGACTGACCAAATTCAGAGAGGTCACGGCGGGGAAGCGGGATGTGGACTCGGAGGAAGTCGTGAAGCTAGCAAAGGTCAGTGAGGAGGATTGGGAAGTAAAGAAAGATACTCACATGATTACAGGGCATGCTTGTCGTGAGCTGGAATGGGAGTTAGCGGCAGAGAACGCGAGGCGAGGAGAAGCGTAAGACCAACCCAAATCCCGTTGCAAGCGGTAAGACTGACCAAGGATTTAGTGTTGTCAAAGATGGCAAGACAACGGGAAACATACCTTGCTGCCCGGGCTGTTTGCGGCAACAGCACCGTCTCCCCGCTCGCACCGAAGGCCCTCCATCAAGTAGGTCGACTTTGGTGCCGAGTCCGACACTGACTCTGCAGTTTAGTTAGCATCCTTAACACCAGAGCCGACCGGCACAAACCTCTCGCGCAAGATTACTTAACACCACACTCGACCGCGAATCGCCCCAAAACTAGTCAACAACAGCGAGAACGCCAACCGATGCAAGGTCAGCTCTGTTTCAACTTGTCGCAACCGTTGGGCCCAGTCATTCTAGCGAATGGTAAGCGCGAGCGACCTGCGGAGACGCCGGACGCGGAGGAAGTCGTGAACTAAGAAATGTCAGTGAGGAGGACTGGGGAGCAAAGATGTACTCACATGATTACAGGTCGTGCTTGTCATGAGCTGGAATGGGAGTTAGCAGCAGAGAACACGAGGCGAGGAGAAGCGTAAGTGCGAGAACTGTTATATCTACGTGTATAACAACCTCCAAGTAATGATATACGATGGGTATGTGAAGAGCGAGGGGATGAAAGATGAAGTAAACAGCGACAGTGATCAGAATGAAGCCAACAACGTACTAAGGGAGAAGAAGAAGAGAGGCAGCGAACCATACCATTCAACTCTAGCCACCCACATTGGCCCGCAGACGCAAGATGCACGTGAGGTTGACTTTCAACCCAATCGGGAAGTGGTAAAGGGAGAGGATGGGGGGAAAGGAAGAGAGACGTGCGCGATGATGGGAAGACCGTGGCCTTATATACTCGCAACCGGGCCGTGGAGCTCGCTTAGCGAACACCGCCCGCGTTGTTATCGCGGCTGCGAAATGCTGACTGACATTCTCTGGAATGGAGAGATGTCAGTTTCTATGGCATAAGCGAGCCATTTTAAGCGACGGCGAGTGTGTGCGAGTACATCTGAGGGCAACTTTGGCCCTAATGCATTGTGTGTATAGGTTGAACCATGAAATTCCAAGAGGATGAAGTGCATCGAAAATTGCCCAAGTTGAACTCCATGAGACGGAACTAACCGCGCCCAGACTAAGCGACAGGCCCCATCTGTCAAGTGGTAATGCCGCGGAGGGTTACAGCGCAACAGCGGTTGCATTAAACGGAAATCAGTGTGGGCACCAGAATTGATCTGCAAAGATTGTACCATTCTGACCATGCTGGGCGTCTCGGGCAACGGAGTTAGGGTAAGGGCATCTATTCGTATCATTCTATCAAATTAATCTGGCCTCGTGGCCATTTCCCACCCACTTACTGCACGAAATGGGGCTTTCTGTTTTTCCTGGAATTCCAGAGCATCGCGTACCGCGATAGACCTCGGGGGCTCCTCGGAAGATGCGGTAGGCTCCGGCCTAAAACTTCTTCCAATTAAGTTGATGCGCAGGTGTGGATGGGCGCGAGTCCGAGACGGACCGGTACAATTGCCGGATTTGGATTCCAGCGTGAGTGGTGATGGCTCCAAAAAGTCGAGCGCGCAGCGACAACTCAAGGCGAGAAAAATCGCGGGTTTAGCACGCGAGAAACGCGTGATTTCGCGTGTATTTATGGTTGAGTTCTGAAAAAAAAGGGCAGTGTCAAGTAGGGAGGAAAATAAAAGCCTTGGAACCAATAAAGGACCAAAAGCGCCAGCAGCAAAGCCAACCTGAGCAAGAGACTACAGAGGAGAGACCCAGGCAGGGTTACATCAGGTCGGCCTCGGGCGGCCTCGGCTAATGTCGGCTGCTTCTGTAATAATACCGGCATCCCTGATGCTCACGACATTGGACCCTGAGCACACTGCCCGCGCTTCCATTTCCTTCCCCGACGCTCATAGGCGAGATGCCGCGCGGTCTAGGCCGCGGCCCCCGGTAAGTATTCTCATTATACTAAACTAGTACTACTATTCTCCGCTTGTATTTGCGCCCTTCAGCGCTATCGACATTCCCAACGCGTCGCATGCGGCGCCCACTGACGCGCTCCCCGCCATCATGGTCGGCGGGCATTATGGCATCCTGAGAAATTCTCAGGCCATCATCACCTAAGGCGGTTCGCCGCCCCCGACAATCGGCCCCGGCTTGACGTGATGCACGCGACTGACTGCCGTGAAAACATCAAATCATCAACAAGGTCACGCACCTTCCTTCTTGTCTTCACTCCTCCACCATCCCTCGTCGCGTCCGTCGTCTATCTCGGTATGTTGCTCTGCATATGCCTGCTCCTTTTACTCACTCCTCTCCTCAGTCTTTCCCCCCTTCCAAACCACTCGATGCTGACTTCAAATTGGACGTCATTTGGGGCTGTCGACAATGAAGCCTCTCCTCTCCGGTGTGTACTGTCATGTTGCGCAGCTCATTGCGTTGACTCTGGCTTAGACTTTGAACGCGCGGCTTTTGGTCTGCCCCTCCTCAACGCGACTGCATTAGTCGAAGGCAAGCTTCTGCTGTTGTGTTGCCTTGGACTTGCGCTTACCCTTTCTTTAGTTTCCCAACGGTGGCCCCCGACTTCCCGCGCCATCAACTTTCTACTCCCTTCCGTGTGGCGACATGCTCTCGCCAGCCATTGGCTTGGCGGCAACGCTGTTGTTATCCGTTTGGCCACCAAACTTCTTGTGTTCACCCCCCCGCCGTCTCCTCCCATCCTGATGTTGCAAGAGCGGCCAAACCTGTGCCCCGACGCGGAACCACTGCTGGTATGCCGTTTCTTTTGGTCATATCTGACAGCGCATTGATTTTCAAACTCAGATTCGTGGATTTCATCGGACTGAGAGGGGGAACCTCTGCTCGGACGCGGCATTGTTACTTGTAAGTCATTTTTGTTCGTTGGTATATGATACGATGCTAACCGCATACATAGCTTCGCTGCTCTCTTTGTGGACCGTAACCTTGCACATTGGAGCAACCTCTCCTTGTGTGTCACTGTCCTTGCTCGTGGACGAGCCCCACCAACAACAACGCCGGCTTGCGAACTCTTCCCAGAGGGTGTACCTCTGCTCGGAGGTCCTGTCCGGCTCAGCCTTGGTATCTTCATTGTCCCGGCGCGGGCAGTAGTGAGTCGTCACCTTTCTTCATGGTCGATGCTGATGACGGATTTAGATTCGTTGCCGCTTCCATTCTCGCAAGTCAGAGGGTGAACCTCTGCTCGCGCACTACTGGTATGTCGTCCCTCAATGGCATGCGACAAAGTATTAACCTACTCCTTCAGCTGTTGTTGTCTTCTGACCTCGGAACCCTGATAAGAGGGTGAACCTCTGCTCGGACCGGGATTTTTCTGGTAAGTTCTTTGTGCCATTGTGATGTGATGCAGTACTGATGTTTGGCTTAGCTGTTGTCGAGCGTGATGGTGCGCGGACAATTCTGCACGGAGGGGGAACCTCTGCTCGCGCGCACGACCGATTGATTTTGATGTGTCAGCGACGCTTACGTAAGCAGATTTGGCGGACATTCTGAGGCACAAAATGCTTATGTTTTTCAGATCGTTTGCGGCCGGAGGCCAAGACAGCCGCCAGGACTGTCAACCACTTTCGTCCGGCATAGTGCTCTGCCACTATTCACAACTCGGGACTGATCCACGCCGCTTTTCTTGTTGTAAGTTGTTTCTGTCGTCGGAATGTGATGCAGTACTGAAGTTTGGCTTAGCTGTTGTCGAGCGTGACACTGCACGGAGGGGGAACCTCTGCTCGCGCTTGTAAGTCATTGCTTCTCCTTGTCTATTCTATTGTGCTGACGCCAAGCTTAGATTTGTTGTTGCCTGTGATGCTTGCCTGCAGGGGCAACCTTTGCCGGTGCGGGGGAACCTATGCTGGTATGTTCTCATTTTGCTTTGCTGCGGCACATGTTATTGATCTTATATCCCAAGGCTCCATTTCGCTGCCTCAGCGCGGGATTTCGAGGCGATACTTGGCTGATTTCGACATGCAAACGATGATTACGTAAGCCGATTTTGGCCGACATTTTGACGCAAAAAAGCTCATTTTTCCCCAGATTTTTGCCGCCGGAGGCACAAAATAGCTGCCCGGACTCTCAACCGCACTCGTCTGCCACAGTGCCCTGCCACTGTGGCCTGGCCGGCCTCAGGATCATCCATCATCAGCCGGCCGGACGCGGCGCCGCCACCGGCATACGGCCATCTGATGCCATCATCACATTTTGATGGTATTTTGGTGAGCATTCTGGCGCTGCTTTTGCGTGATTCAAAGCTCATTTTTTCACAGGTCCGGGCCGCCGGAGGCGTGAGTAACGGGTGGCCTAGCAACGCTGTATGGCCCATCGGCTCGATGGGCTTGTCTTCATATCATCTTATCATTAGGGTCAGTTTTGAAGCCAATCCTCATCTAGTCATAGCTGACTTTGTTATATAGGGAATGCGCTGCCATTTTCCTGCGGGTCAACGGGTACATGGGGCCGACTTCTTATCAGGCGGCGCCTTCCCCTCGTCTTCCTGCTCGCCCTTGATGTTTGTGCTCGGGGTTCGGGCGGCGCTTCCCCCGCGTCCTCTTACTTCTATTTTGAAGGTATTTTGGTGAGCATTCTGTTTTTACACGATTCAAAGCTCATTTTTTCGCAGGTCTGGGCCGCCGGAGGCCTGCATCGCGCCCTGGATATCACAGTTCTGTCCTATTCGGGTATCGAGGGTCCGAGTTTGGCCGCCGACTCGGCCTTCAAGTCTTGGTCATATCATCTCAGCCTTTGGTTGCCGTTGTCGGTAAGTTTTGAAGCCAATACTCATGGAATCGCAGCTGACTTTGTCATGTAGGCCTTGAGTTGCGCTCGGGACGTGCGGTTGTTCCGGTTTTCTTTCCTCCTTGTCCTTGGTCACCGACTTCTTCTCGGGCGGCACCTTCCCCGCGTTATCGTCTTTCTCCCATCCCTGCTCCGAGTCACCGGCCACAGTCCCTGCCCCGGGCCGGACCGACTTGTGGTCATGCGGTGCCTCCCCTGTGACATGCTTGTGAGTACTCTCTGTCAATCCCTGCGCAATCATCACTGACTTTGCCTCGGAAGCCTTGTGACCGGCTTTCCTCCTTCTCCCGGGCGGTGCCTTCCCCGCATCCCTTGCCCTTTGCGCTCCGGAAGCGCTGCCGGTCCAGCTTCCCTCCCGCCGACTTCTTCTCGGGCGGCGCCTCCCCCGCGTCCTCCTTCTTTGCGCCGACTTGCCGTTGCCATCGCGCGATTTCATGGTGCATTTTTGACCCCATTTTTCGGTCTACAAGGCTTATTTTTTCGAAGGTCCGGGCCGCCGGAGGCCAATGAACGGGTGGACTTGAAAGTTGCGTTGGGAGCGCGCTGCCGCTTCACATCGCGGGTGTGTATTTGCTTCCCTTATGCGGTTTAACAAGCTCATTTTTTTCTAGGTCCGAGCCAACGAACGCTGGACTTGCACAGTTTGCGACTGTGTGTTGTCTACACAATGTGGATGCGGAGATGGACTTGGGCTGGTTTTGATGGCATCGAACGCGTCGCGACGCGTCTTAAGTAGCGCGCCTGGATGTACCTCTTAAAATAGAATTCCATTGTTTTTGCACTACCAAACCCTGCCCGGAAAGCCCGAGAGTGACCCACTGCCTTGTCTGCCCAAACCATGCCCGAGACCGCCGTTAGACACGTCCAAATAGCCCTCAGAATCCATTTTTTCTCCCCGCAATCCTTAAGCACATGACTTTCTAGAGGTCCGTGCGCTGAAAAAAAAGGTATATTAGAGTACGCTCTCGCTCGCGCGACTTGGCGAGCGAGCGCGACTTGGCGTTGGAGCGAGCCGTGCGGGGAGGGGTAACATGTTATATAAGCAGATTTAATCAATCAATCTGCGCGCATTGCGCTTTGTTACATACAAGTCTTTAAGACGTAAATTGAGTGATTCAGATTGCAAGTTCTGTGCTCAGCGAGTGCCAAAACGCACAGCGCGCAGCCAACTTTGGGTCGACCGGCTCCATAGCGACCTGCGAGGGATGGAACAGTATTCGCGGGCCTCCATCGACACCGTTTTCCTGTGGGTAGCCTTCAGCCGACATTGCAGCAACTGTCCCACGAATTACTTGCCGTCCACAAAACAGAGGCAGACGGCGAAAGCGGGGAGCCTGACACGGCGAACGAGTTCCAGAACTCGCGCATCGCGACGACTACCGCTTCGTTGGCGTTATCGTTGCCCGCGTCGTCTTCGAAGAAGGCGTTGAGCTCGTCGCCGTGGGAAGAGCCGAGGGTGGGGTTGTCCCAGCTACGCACGCATGTCAGTCATTAGCGATAGAAGCAGGCTCTGTCGCTGACTGGAACTGCCAGGAGGGCACACCAGACACGTTCAAGGCCCCGCCAACAGAGAGGGCACTGCATATGTAGCGCATCTCGCCATACATCTGCTGTCCTTGGAGGCTGAACGAGCCATTGTAGTCGGTCAAGGGATAGAATTGTGCGACCGCTGTGTCAAAAGACGAGCGGGACAAGTCGAGGTATTGCCCGGCAAGGAAGTTGTAGACCGTCGTTTGTGTCGCATTGGGCATCGAAGTGTTTGCGAGGGGATTGTCCAGTTCGGCGGACCAATGATCACCCTCGTTGGTGTTGGAGCTAAGAAGACAGTCAGAGTCGTATTTACAAGGGCTTGCCAACCCCGCACCCAAAGATTCCGGGGACGCGGACGAAGTGGCCGTTTTGAAATGCTTCGACAGGTCGTTCGCGCAGGAAAGAACCGTCGAAGATTGGGCCGATGGGAAATAAAGCCGACGTCAAGTTGGCCAAAAGTTTGCTTCCCGCAGTCGCGATCGTTTTTGTCGATGCTGCACGAAGACAGGCCATGATGGCTGGTCCGTTACCGCTCCCCGAACAGCCTCTGAGTAGTATGTATTGAGCCAAAGACAAGCAACAGCAGTTTTTTGAGACTTACGCAAAGCCCGCATATTGCATAAAAAGGTTCTCGATGTGCGGATCATTATAGCGGAAGAGCGACAGCATCGGTGGGCTGTCGGCAATAGCTTGACGAAAAAGTCCCTTGGAACGAGACGGTAACGACACGCGCCTGCGTTGGAAACGACGCCTGAACTGACTTCGCAATGAGCAACATAGCCAACAGCAAAAGGCCAACCCTAACCCTAGCCCGCGCGACCTCCTCGTCGATGACACAACGGGCAACGACTCTGGTCGACGACCGGCCTCTCGGGTCCGTTCCCCGACGGCACGTGTTGCTTACCAGCTCACTCCCGCCCCACTTCACTAACCGGGCAACCCGCTCGCTCGCTGCCCTGGGACACATGATCGCATCTCGCCTCAAGACGCCGCGAACGGTGTTGGGCCTACCAACCTAACGGCAAGCCCCAAATCTGTCTACAGCGCTAACTACCCCCGCCAGATTCCAGCCGCTTGCCGACCAGCTCCAACACCTCCCGCGCCTGTTTACGGCGCTAACAACCCCCGCCCCAGACTCCAACCGCTTGCTGGCCCGCTCCGACACCTCCCGAGCCTCGTTTCCTGGCCCCTCCGCCTTCAAAGACCGCCAAAATCGCAGCTAGACAGAACGAAGCTGTCAGCGCCGATCTCGAGAACGAGCAAAACACGCACTAGTGGCCGCCAACGCTGCTCAAACCACCCCCGCCGCCTTCAACTCGTGCCAAAAGGACACTACAAACAGCAAGTTTGTCAGCGCTGATCTCAAGAACGAGCAGCACGCACTCGCTAGCGGTAACGGGACACAGGGCTAGGCGAATGTGGAGGGAAGGGGAGAGGTGGGTCGTCGAACGAGCGCGGGAGTGTCCGCCGGCGACTGACATGGATTCAGGGTCAAGCGCGGCAAGACAACGCAAATACACACCTTTGTGACGACAACAAGATCGAGTAAGTCGTCGTTCCGCGGTATCGACACTGCTAACTCTGTTGTCTGGTTAGTATCCCCAATACCAGACACGAATCGCCACGAACCTTGCGCAAGACTGCAACAACTACTTCTGGATTCGCCAGCGCGAGCTCCGCAAGACCAAACCCGAACACACCAATCTTCGAGGTTAGTAGCGCTGTTTCCGTTTGGTCGACATTGAAGCCTGCAGGAGAGGGCATAGACGAGGATTCAAGTCCGCTGGGAAGGAGCTCTGTCGGCAAGTCAATGCACGTCAAAGGACAAGCACGAGTCAGGACTTACCTTGAAAGTTTGTGAGCGACATCGATTTTAAGCGTGGAAAAGACGGGCTATGCCAAGTAAGCAGGCGTGTCATTGAATGAACAGATTGGACTTACCTTCTCCTCCAGAACGGTTGAACAACAACAACGGCACTATAACACGGTGAGCATTCGACATAGCAGCAAGGATGTGAAGCTTACGATGACCGCAGAGGTCTCCCGGCCGGTCGGGTCCGTGACCCGACGGCACGTGTCATTCTCCCGCTTCACCCTCTCCCGCTCGCCCACCATGTCCTTCCTCAAGACCAAGCCGGTGCTGTCTACAACTACCCCCAAGCCGCCTCCCCCCGCTCGTGCCGCCTTTGCCTGCCGCCAAACAACCCTACAAATCACCAGCTTGTCAGCGCCGAGCTCAGTCTATCTAAAAAGGGTGCTGCAATGCCGACTACTCCCGCCAGCGCTGCTCGAACCACGTTTCCCGCTCCCGCTCCCGCCTTCTGCAACAGCCGCCGAACGCGCGCGGGAAGGTGCGACTGACATGAATTTGGTGTCAAACACGGCAAGACGACACGAATACACACCGACACGAATGTCTGCTGCGACAGCCCGCTCGCGCAAGTGCTAACACCACACTCGACCGCCAATCGCCCTAAAACGCGTCAGCAAGGACGAACTGGGCAACAATAGCGCCAGCGCCAACCGAAGTGATGTCAGATTGCGCCGGGCGTGGTCATTCTAGCAAGAGGTAAGCGCGAGCGTACGCAGCCGGGACAACGGACTGACCAAATTCAGAGAGGTCACGGCGGGGAAG